AAATTAGCGTTTGTTTTGCGAATGTAGCGTTAGCTAGTGCAGCAGCTCCCGCAACAACACCGGGGGACCTCCGGGCGACGTTTGGGTCTACGTTAACCCTAAAAGCGGAGGTGCTGTAGACGCTAAATACCGTAGCTAAACACCAATCATACAACAGCAATGATGAAAGATTGTAGCCAAGGCAGCAGAGCTCTGAATATAGCTCTTGTTACTCTCACTCTCTCTCACACACACACACACACACACACACACACACACACACACACACACACACACACACACACACACACACACACACACACACACACACTAGGGCTGCTCGATTATGGCAATAATCAAGATTATGTTGGTCAATAATTAATATCACGATATAACGATTATTCATTGACTTTGAAAGCATCAATTTATTGAACTTTAAAACAAATAATAATTTGAACATTATCTTTTTAACTGTTGATTACCTAGAACGTATAATTCAACTGAAAAAGTAATAAATAAATGATATATTTAAATAAATAATATCAAAATAGTAAATACCAATAAACAAGATCAACAAATATTTTGGAGCGCACTTCCACAAGCTACTAAACATCTATAAATATGATAAATAAATATAAATTAGACTCAAATTAATTAGATTAAATATGTTGTCACTGTCACAACCTAGCAAAGCTAAATAATTGTTTTTTTCGATTATTTTGTTTATTGTATTTGTGGCAGGCCAAAATCGTAGTTGCGATTAAAATACGATTAATTGCACAGCCCGAACACACACACAAGCACACAGAGAAACATACACATACACACTTTTTGGCTAAAACAGTTCTGTACTGTTATGCTGTTATGTTCAGTTATTGTTCTTATGTTGAACATGAATACATTTACTTTGTAAGTAATTATGGGACGTATTTCTTCTTTCATAGCAATTTTCCTTCATACTTTCTTGCCGTGAAATAGGTCTTAAATTCTATTCAAAGTGGTCTTAAAAAGGTCTTAAAAAGTCTTAAATTTGAGTTGGCGAAACCTGCAGGAACCCTGTTATTGAAATATTACATTTTTACCATGCTCAACTTTACTAAACCCAACAGGGTTTTAGCCTCCTGCGGTTGTGGGCCAATCACACTTACAGTAGCATCTAATCAAAGAATGCCTGCGCTGATTGGTTGAGAGCAAAACCAAACAATTAGATTAATCTTTTTCTAAAAACGATTGAATGCAGGTATTGTTTGACTAGTTTTGTTACTTGGTAATATTTTACTTAAATCGATGCATTGCGGTATCAAATACCAATGTTTTATTTATATTACCTGTATTGCGTACCCTATACCTTAGGATTACTGATATCTTAGTGGTATCCGGTACTTTATAACTCCAAATATGAACCTGGATATTCCATTGTTTTCTAGGTATACTCGTGGCAGAAGCCTTCAACAGAACTCAGTTGATCTACAGCGCCAGCATGAAGAAATACTTCTACACGACTCTCTTCCTGACTTCCTTCGCTGTTGGCTTCTACCTGCTGCTTAAAGCTGTGGGTGTGGACCTGCTCTGGACCCTGGAGAAGGCTCAGAGGTGGTGTGTGAAGCCAGAGTGGGTTCACATGGACTCCACGCCCTTCGCCAGCCTCCTGCGTAACATGGGCACGCTGTTCGGCCTGGGCCTGGGCCTGCACTCACCCCTCTACACCGAGACCAAGAAGAGCAGCAGCAGCTCGGCGGTCAAAGCGCTGAGCGTCATCAGCACTCTGCTCCTGCTGCACCTGTTCGACTCCTTCAAGCCTCCCACGCACACCGCAGCTCTGTTCTACCTGCTGTCCTTCTGCAAGAGTGCCACCGTGCCTCTGGTCACCGTCAGCATCATCCCGTACTGTGTGAAAGGAGCTCTGAGCCTGCAGAACAAAAAGGGAATTTGAGAGAAGAACTCAGATTGGACACACTTACATGTGAAGGAATCTCTTCCGGATCAAGAAAAAATACGTTCCTCTGGTGCTTTTGTTTTTATATGTCCAACTGTTCCTCAGGGAAGAGCCAATAAGATCAATGTGAATTGGTCACTTGTGTGATTTGTACACTCTTTGTGACATTATGTGAAGCACTCTCCAGGATGCTGAGTGGCACCAATTATGAGTTTAGCAAAATATGATAATTCAATTTGTTGAGTCCTGGAAAAAACAGAACAATGAACACACACGCTGCACTTGTTGTGTTTAACCTCATCTTAAAGACAATGGCCACCGCTCACAGCATGGTATTTCAACTGTATTAGTAATGTATTTTAAATGTTATAGAAAGTATTTTTGAAACTTTTAAATATTTTTAATAAAAAATATATAGAAAATGTATTAAATGACTTGGCTCATAATTTACTTTATCATGAGTATTTATCCATTACCACTATTAATTGATCCAGTTCCATGAAGCTTCCATGAAACAACATTACTATCACTGAATAATAAAGTTACTCAGTTAAAATAAAAGATAAATCAGTAGCAAAATTAACCAAATTATCAAAGGTGACCCTTTTCACAGTATTTCTCTTTATTTGAATTATTACCACTATGTCATTCCTAGCATTTGTTGCCATTTCAGCTAGGGTATTCAAAAATAAAAATAAAAATTTTCCATGTTTTTTTTTTATTTAATCTGAATGATGGCTTGTTAAAGGATAAGAAAAATAGCTCAGGATATTATGCTTAACATCGTTTTTTTTTTTACCATCCCCAGTTACTGTGTGTGCACCCTGTTACTGTGAAAAATAGTAACAGGGTGGACATTTTATGCTAAACTTGGCTATTGCTACATGTGTGATGATAATCAAGCTAGCACTTGGTGACAACAGAAACATATATTTGATAGATATATTCACCATATTTTCTAAATGTAAAAAAAATGATCAGTTCCACTAAAAATGAGCATAACAGGGTGGACATTTTATGCTTTACCGCAATAGTTAAGTTCTTTAAAACATTAGAAAATCGTTGAAGGAAGAACGCATTCACTCTGCTTCTTGAAGATGATTTCCCACTCAAAACGTATCCTTCTTCTTCTTGAGTCATACAGATAGTAGAATAGTAAAGGGGCGTGTCCAGAGGGATTCAAATCAGAGTAACAGGGGGTACATTGAAACAGGGGACACACACTTTATTTTCAATACAAATGAATTAATAACAACAATTTCAATTTGGTGAGGAATATTAGCAAAAGGGTCATACAACACTCACAAAAATATAGAATTTGTTTGTATTTCTTTGATTTCTTTTTGTATATCTGTTACAGAAGTTGAGCAAACATGATTGGGGACACAGCAATTTGGCCTACTTGTGCTAAAATCAGAGTAATTATTTAGAATTTTTAATATCCTGGCTAAATAACATTGTTGTTTTATGGTAGAGGGTATACACATTTAAAACCAAGCATTTAAAAAATAAGCATTAAACCTTTTAAATACAAAATATATGATATAATGTGGTGGGGACCTAAATGGCACCGAATGCTAGGAATGACCTTATGACTGCTGTGTAACTATACCTATCATTTTACATCCTTTTTCTATTTGTTATTTCTATTTTGTTTCATTAATCTGGATCTGCAAAGTAACTAAAGCTGTCAAATATTTAAAAGTAAATATAAATACTCAAGAAAATAAACAGTACCTTAAAATTGTACTCTATTACAGTACTTGTTTAAATGCAAATTGTCACTATCTTTATCCCAGTGACCCCCCCCCCCAAATGATTTCCTTTTTTGATGACTGATTTAGTTTAATTTGCAACATTTTCTAATTTCTTTAGTAAACAGAAACTAATACACACACGGCCCCCTTCCAAAAATCCCTTTTTTAATGGCCTAGAACATTTTTAAAGATAAATATACAATTTTGGCACAGACAGAGTGTGATATAAATCATTAACTCGGCACCAAAGCCCTGGCCTTTAGCCTGACCTGCTGCCATGACATAGACTCACACGTCATAGGACTGTCAAAGGCTGACAGTGCAAGATGAACATTCAATATTTGTCTGTTTGCGTTTTTTCGAATGGACACAAAACATCCAACAACACTGAGTTGTGCAAGACTGTGTCACTACTGCTGTTTTTCAACACCCATGGGCATATAACGATAATTTGTTTCTTCTTGGGCACAGACATTCAAAAGGCCCCGCACTACCTATTCTGCACAGTATAACAGGGTGTGTTAAACACTTTTTTGCTGTTGTTTTGTGCCTCTTTGTTTTGTATTTATTTGTTGTCTGTTGACGTGTGCAAGTGAAGGCTGGGGCGCTGACTATTTGGGGTCATGAAAACTGGTCAAGATGTAAAGTAAAAGTACTCATTATGTAGAATGGCCATTCTTAGAACAATGTATGTTTTCAGTTTCTAGCCAAAAGCTGTTTGTTTTAAGCTAGGACTGCACATGTGTGTAACTTGTTTGTTTTTTTTAAACTTGATGCATTTGGAATTTTTGTAAGTATTTTGTGGTGGTACTGCTACTTTAATTTATAATAAAAATATTTGATCTTTCACCGCTGCTTTGACACAATCAACTGTAATACCACTTATGAACAGAGGGTGGCGGTGTTCCACCATCTAGCTTTAGATTAACAATACAGAGGAAGAAGAAGACCCTACCGGAAGCACTGAGCTTGCTCCTTGTGTTGTTGACATATATACAGTCTATGGTTGTTGATAAAAGTGTCTCTGCAGGTGCTGTTGGAGCAAAACAAAAATGTTTCGATGTTAAAAAAGTATTTTTAAGACTCCATGATGTCCAAACTGCAGGCGGTGAGGGCGCTGCTGGCGGAGAGACTATCGGCGGCCGCGGAGCAGATCTTCAGCTCTGAGGAGGCAGCAGGCATGTAAACCACACATTCAACACACACGTTATTAACCACCAAGTCAACTAATCATCATGCAATCAATATGTTCTCTTGTTATCTCCCAAAGGAAAAGTAACGTTAGTACTTTATTTAAAATGTTGAAGTTATAAGCTACATGCATTAGTTTGTAGATTATAACTATAACAAGTGCTCAGATGTTTTGCTTAAGCATAAAATAGTGTAGAAATACACTACTGCGAGTCAAAGTGCTGCATTCAAATGTTGCCTACAGAAGTAGTACAAAAATCAGTCTTTATTATGCATATTAAGTTCCTCAAAATTGTACTTAAGGACAGTACTTGTGTAAATATGCTTGATTACTTTCAATTGCTGGGTGCTTTGCTTGAGAATGTCAATGTTCTGCTACGTTTCACTTCTACTCCACTTCATATTGGATACCAGTATAGTACTTTTTACACATTTTTGATACAATAAGTTACTTTGTACTTCCAGATAATTAAAAAGGTGATCTATCAATCAACTGCAAGATAAACAGTAACTCATTCAAAGTTCTTCACCATATACAATAGTGCAACTTTTGTAATGATATGTAAGATATAAACTGGTACTGGATACGTTGTGTGACCTTTTTTTTGTATGTGATGAAACTTAAGTTAAGCATTTTTTTAACTGCACCAAAGCTAAATATTTTTTGGAATAACATGATAAAAAAAAGTATTACAGTGGACATAAATACAGATTTTTTTCTGTTTGGAGCAGGAATGGTCAAGATCAAGAGCTTGGGTATATTATGCTCATCTTTATTCAACAATGTCACCAATTTTAAGGATAAATGCATAACTTTTTAACTAAACCAAACTGTAGTTTCATCCTAAAATCCACACAAACTTAAAAAAGAAGAAAAAGTACTGAAGTACAAAACAAGCCTCTCTGGTAAAGGGCAAATTAATTAATTATATATGGGGAGCAAGGATCAGCTGAATTATTCTGTCATTTGTTTATACTTAAAGCTATTTCTTTATTTTCTCCCTTTCTCCAGACATGCCTTCTGAACAGCAGAGGGCAGCTGTACACAAGCGGCTGTCGATGGTTGCAGACGAGATTGTTAGGATCCTGGAGGACATGATGGGAGAATACGAGGCACGAGTGACCGAATCCCACCAGGAGAGCCAAAGCCAACCGCCCAACGTCATGCTTAAAACTGAGACAAATGTACCCAGCCCAGGTATATTACATAATGTTTAAACCAAAAAATGATTTATAATTGTACAGTTATATATACCGGTACATACAATTTGTTTACTGCTGGCACCATCATCATTTTATTAATCATTATGCACAGCACAACAAACAAAAGTGAAATCATGAAGTTAGTTATAGATTAATTACAAACCCATGCTAAGCATTTATGTTTGTGTTTTATGTAGAGTATGAATCTTTGATAATTACCATCCTTAATGTGTTACATTTGCTTATTTATTTACTCAGACATTTATCATTGACTAGATTTTCTTGTAAACATTTGTGGACAGCTTTGCAAAGATAAATAGTAATCTGTTACATTTGTTATAGACCTAACACGCCTTTTTGAAATGATTCCAAAATATTAGGGCTGTCCCGAATACCATTTTTCGGGCTCCGGATATTCGGTAGTAATCAGCGGCGAATATTCGGCCCGCACCGTAACCCAATTTGTGTTCTTTGAAATTGAAAAGCATATGGCATTTTTTTTGTTACTTTCGTTGCAGTTGTATATGTCGTCCTATTTATAGGGACATGCTTTTATTTTGAAGGAGAGGTAGCGCTGTTGACAGGAAGTTGTTGTTGCTTTGGAAACAACGTGACGGAGATTAACGGAGAAAAGTAATATCTACATATAAAGAAGGAGAAAGTAAACGATAACGTTTATGGTTAAGTGGTAGCACCTCCACGTTGATATTGGAGATTTCAATAAATTCAAGTTGAAAAAAAAACGGGAAAAAAAACAAACAAAACGAATATCCGAATAACGAAATTGAAACCCGAATAGTACTCCAATGAACGAATATTCGGATATTCGGGTACAGCCCAACACAATATATGTATATATTGTGTCAAACGTTCACGCTTTGTCGACTTAAGGAAGTGTTGCAGAATAGAGATTTTTTTGTTGCTCATGCTCCCACAGCTACAAGGGAATATTTTTACGGTGTCTGTGTTTTTATGCAGTTTACAATACAACCATGCTGAATTTTCTCTCTCATTTCCCATTAGAGAGATTTACACTCCTTGGGTCAAACACTGAAAAGGATGTTTCTTCTGAGCAGAGCAGGGCATCCAGTCTGCTCCAGAAAACATTACATATAAAGTTTAAAGACGCCTATACAGACACAGACTGTGATTTAATCCACACTGGGCTCTCAGATAACCATCAAGCACAGAGAACAGAAAAGGGAACCTCGACTATGATGGAAACGGAGACACAAAGTAACCCTAAGGTTCTATCATCGAACAATTCAGAAACTCCAAGTGAAGATAATAACAGTGAGATAAATGAAAAACATCTCAAATCACTTCAGAGCCATAGTCAGGGCGAGGATTGTTGCCAACTGTGTGGAAGGTCTTTCCTCAATGGGGTCATTGGGAAGAAAATGAAAAAACATAAAAGGAACAATTTCACATCCAACAAGAGCCCGACTGCAGGACGGAGTTGTTGCAGAGTGTGTGGAAAGTTTTTCCACTACAAACGGTCTTTTCTGAAACACGTAGTTACGCACAAACAGAACTCCGATCTTTGTGGAGCCTGTGGGAAACATCTGGACTCCGACGAAAGCCTGGAGGTTCATTTACAAACGCACAAGGAAGAAAACATCTGCAGGAATTCAGAGGAGAAACAGTCAGAGGCAGAGGGCTCTGGGAATAAAGAGGACAGTGATGAGGAGTGGAAGGACAGTGAGGGCAGTGAGGAAGGAGACAGTGAGAAGGAGCAGATCAAAGACCGACCTTATTTACGAAAGTCAAAAACAAAAGGAGCTAAAGATAAGGATTGCAAGGATGTATCTAATCCGAAATACCTCTGTAAAGTATGTGGCAAGTCTTTCTCCTACAGAGCCTCGTTTTTGAGGCATGTGCTAGAAGACGAGGAGGATACAGATGTTTGTGGCGTGTGCGGGAAACGTTTCAAATCCGAGGAAAGCTTGAGGTGTCACCTGCAAACCTACATCCAGACGAATGATTGTGAAGTCTGTGGGAAACACTTTGACGGCCACAAACAACTGGAGATGCACATGAGGACCCACACGGGAGAGAAACCGTACATCTGCACCGTGTGCGGGAAGGCGTTCGCTCAAAACGGAAACCTAATGGGACACATGAGAGTCCACACGGGGGAGAAAAGGTACGTGTGCAGCGTGTGCGGGCAGAGCTTCAGCTTTAAAGAGTACATGATGGCTCACATGAGGATCCACACAGGAGAGAAACCCTTCCTCTGTAGCGTCTGTGGGAAAGGATTCAGGCAGAGGGGGACTCTGAAAACACACATGATGATCCACACAGGAGAGTCCACTCACCGATGCAGCGTGTGTGACAAGAAGTTCTATAAAAGCGGAGCGCTAAAGATCCACATGAGGTCGCACACCGGAGAGAAACCGTATCTGTGCAACGTCTGTGGGAAAAGCTTCACGGCCAGCGGCTCGCTGACCAAACACATGGGCGTCCACGAGGGGGAGCGAGCGCACAGCTGCAGCGTCTGCGGGAAAGGGTTCACAAGGAAGGAGGATCTGAAAAAACATGTTCAGACTCACCCAGAGGAATCCACACAGCTGACAAGTCTTTAATGTTTGTTAAAGGAGAAGTTCAACATTTTGATAATATGCTAATTCACTTTCTTTTCAAGAGTGAGATAAGGATATCAATAACAAGAGCTGAACTCTGTAATTCTCCATCTTTTTAGTTGCAAGGAGTTGCATTTTTTCTGTCTTTTGTGATGGTAAATATATAATATTGGTCTGTTCATCATAAAAAACTGACTTAGCAAAACCCAACTCTTCAATATTACCTACAGTTGTGTTCACAATATATTCATTACATGTATTGCTCTTATTCTGTTTATCTTGCTTTACCCTTTTGATTACAAAACTTAGTTATTCTCTTCATGATTTATCAACATTAAGTGATGCGTCCATTTTCTATAATCTCTCTTTTATGTTCTATGCTGCAATCTTGTTCAGGACTTCTCTGGTAAACGAAGATTGGTTAGCTTTGGTTAGCATAAAGCTGCTCGTGAGAAACAAATCCAACACATCCAAAGCTTGAGATATTATTTATATGACTGAAACGGAGATGGCAAGTTTTTCCTAAATGTTGAACTATTCCTTTAAATGGTAGGCTACATAGCAAAATGGTTTGATATTCAATTTGAATGTTATTTGTTTTACAATCACATGTGTTTTGATGAAACTGTGAAGGAACACCATCATTTCTAAAATAATATTTTACAATGATAAGTGCTGCTTTATTGGTATGCGAAGAAATAATTCTAAATCTAAATGATTTAGTTTTTTTTGGTGTTATTTGTAATCCAACTTTGCTGGTTTATTGAAACGGTTTTAACATTAACCTTGTGCTTCTTCGGTGGTGCTAATACTTAAATGTAAACTTAATGAATACAAGTGATAGGAGCAGCTCGGGGCGCACCAAGCTGCGCCCAATGCAGCTATTGACACTGCCAACAGCACACTGTGAGTGATTGACGTTTGAATGAGAGAGAGTTAGACGGAGACGGAGTGTAAACAAAACTAGATAGCGAATGAAGGAAAATGATGTTTAATCACTTAAAGAAACACTCTTTGAGAGGAGGACACTGGAGGGAAAGCTGAGAGTATAAGAGTTCGGACCTGATCAGACTGACATAGGCAGGAGTTAAGGACAGAGGAAGGCAGTATACGTGCTCTTTTTCAAGGAGCTGGTTTAGAAAGCACTACCTGTAGCAACACCAGTGCTATATTTTGCTTCCCCTGCCTCCTTTTTTCAAACGTCAGGATCAGAACCAGCATGGATCCAGACAGATGTGAGTGACTAAAGCACATATCAGAAAAAACTAAAAAGCATGAACCAACTAGAGTCCACATGGACAATGCTATGCGACTAGCCATGTTAGGAAAGACACAACTGCCCAATGAGGGCTACTGGATAGGGATCAGTAAGCATATGTTGACAAAAACAGGCACTAAAATAATAGACTGTATCAAGTGCTCTGTGCCTTTGAGCTAGCCCTGCGTTGTAATATGACATTATTCAGCTCATTTAAGTTTGGCTCACCAAACCATATTCATTACCATCAAATAATGTGCCTAAATGGCTCTTACAAATTGTATACTGCCCAACCCCAGACCAACAAACCTTGTGAGCTGTCCTTTTTGGCTCTGGGAAATTGCGATGGCATTTCTTACTGTTTTTCTGAAATTTCTACAAACCCAGCAATCGTGCGGCTTTTAAATGAACGTATAGTAAACTAATCATATAACAGTAACAGGGGGAATTCTGAGTATTGTACAGTGTAGTACTCATACTTTTACTTATTAAAGGATCAAAATACTTCCAACGCCCTCACACGAGAAAGGCTTTTATTATGAAGCTTCTCGACGGCTCCTCCTTTAGATTTTGACGGCTTCACATTTAAAGTTCAACTGTGTCTTGATAGAAACCATGACATTGCAAAACATAGCAAACACACAAAGATCAGTTCAACACAATTTATTTTTCTGCTTAAATAATGACTTGGATCATCCAGTGTAGGCTATGTTGGTTCGTCATACATGTTGGTACCAGATTCATCATTAACAAAGGATGCTTAAGGTGGTTTCGTATGAAAAAAGACATAGAGAGAAGAAATTAAAATTTCACAAGAACCGTAGATCAGATTTCTAACAATGTGGGATTTAGCCATTAATACAAATTGGATAATGGGGCTAAAAAATGACATTCTGTGTTCTTATGTAAATACAACCTGTTAAATAAAGATAAAAGTCATCAAACCGTCAAATTAAAAGTCCCCTTTTTAAAATCACAGCAGACCTAAAAGCTTAAACGTAGACTCCTAGTGTGCATGATGGGCTTACATATAGACATTTGTATTTTATGTTTCACACACACAGGGCTGCTAGCAGTTAGGAGAAAACACAACGCTCTGCAGGTTACATCGGGGACAACAGCAGCACCTCGCTGTGCGTGTTTACATTTTCATAAAAAACGGTTATAGATGACACATGGTTGGGTTATTATGAGTGCTATCAAAGACAGAAGTACCATCTCTCTAATTGTATTACAGTGCATTTGAATTAGGAGGAAAATTAAAGGAAAGCGTTTAAAATAAGGTGACGTCACATGCAGCAAAATATTATTTCTCTGAAGACAAATAATGTTCCACAGGAAGTAGATGTTGGCTTTTGAAGAAACGTCCTTTTAAAATCAAGCAAGTATTATTTTTTTTCCATTCCTTTCTCTTTACATACAGCTTTTTTTTGTTCTTTTTTAAATTCATTTAGGAAGAGCGTTTCAGGTTGCACGCTCAAACAGTGTCAACCTCAATACAAACGCACCGACTCGGCAAAGCTTCCACTCAAATCAGTGCATAAACAATCTGTGAAGCTACTGATTTCTATTTTTTTTTTCATTTTATACAGTGTCATTTATATACAACAAAAATCACCCATTTACTATTATATTTCATTTAAAAAAAAAGAACCACATGGTACACCCCAATACTGCGGGTCCAGGAGGAAAGAATGGACCATATAAGGCGAGTGTCTGGGAGAGAGAGTGAATCCTTATCTGTCAGCGTTAAGTTTTCCTTGTTTGTGCCATCTTTGGTCACACACGCCTTCCATTGGTTAAAGATCATGTAAGAAAGCTCCAGCTCACGTCCGTGTGTGTCCCTCCCGTGTTGTTTCCAACAGTGAGTGAGTTGTGGTGACATGCTCATGCGAAATCAAAGAAAAGTTTAGCTTGTTGTCTTGCTGAAAACCATGCGCTGTAAGTGAAAGCTTCAGACACGTTTTTGGCCGATTGACGAGGCTTCCAGTCTTGTCTTTCCTCCCAGGGCATGTTTGGAGTTGCAGATGGACCTCATGGACCTGGAAGGAGACACATAACATTAGCATTTGAGGCTATACTGTAGTTATTCAATGCCCCAGAGTTAATAAGATCTGTTAACGGGCTGATCATCTGCAATCGTTTAGTAGGTCTTAAATTGGATTTAATTTGATCATTCATTTGATTGATTTTCCAAACAAAAATGACATGAAATAGCTACTTCCTGCTTCTCACATTTGCTGCTCCTGTTTTTTTATGATTATAAATGTAATATATTTGGCTTTCTGGCTGTTGGTTAAAAAAAGGCAATTTTATATACTTTCTGACCTTTTAACACTAAATATTAAGGAAAGATTAAATCGATATTGAAATTGAAAGCCAGTATGCTTCTTTTCTGCTTCTTAGTTACAAAATGTGTTGAACATTTCCAAAAATACTAATTTGATATAGGTTTAACACAGAGGAGGAACAGTTTTGTTGCATATTTATCTAAAAAGACATTCTAAAACACATAGCAGATTAGAGTGTCTTAAAGGTGGGGTAGGTAATTTTGGAGAAACCAGCTCGAGTCCGATAGAATTTGAAAATATACAGCCGAAAAAAATCTGCCACTTCCTTACAGAGCCCCTCCTCCAACACACGAACGCGCACATGACCAATGAGGGCACGAGATAAGTTTGTGCACAGATGGAAGGCTGACAGGCAGGTAGGCCATCCAGTTACTTTAGCCGGGCCGGCTAAAATGATTGGTCGTGCTTTTTACAGTACTACGGCTTCCACAGATGAAATTTTTTAATGGATTTTTTGTCAAAGCTCTTAAGATATTCATTGCTATCGGGATGTTAAGAGCATTACATGGAATATAACAAAAAGTGTATCTCGAGCCGGTTTCTCAAACTTACCTACCCCACCTTTAAGAGATTGATATTTATTATTATATTCTTACCTGCTTGAGTTGAGTGCTCTACTGTTATGACTGACTCTTCTTCCCTTGTTTCTTATTGGCACTGTCTCCAGGCTTGGCGGGGGGGAGAAGCATCGAGTTTGTTCAGAAGAGAGAAAAACAAAGAAAATAAAGTTAGAGTGGTGCTCCGACTAAACATGAAGTGTGTTAGTGAAGCGCAGTGAAGCTGTACTACTGCGGAGGAATCACAAGAAGCATGCTGCAAGAGAGGCGGGCTTCAGGAGAGAAAAGGATGTTAGTATTACTACTTCAAATCACACGTGCATCAGCACATCTTAACAGAAAGAACTGTATTCATTTCTCTATGGTAGTTGAAACACGTAATATTAGTATTTCTCAAACCACAGCAACCTGACATGGCTGTTGGACATCAAACACTACTGACACACTGCAGTACAGAGGAAACACACACACTGCTACTCTATAACACAGCACTCGACACACAGCTCAGTTTAGTTTAGTACTGAGATCAGACTTCACAACAGGAGCCCGATCCTACAGATATGCACAACTTTTTATGTATTCTATGGTCAAGTTTAAAATGATCCATAACCTGTCTTTGATACAATAGTTCCATCCACTATTGTATTGTGAATATTAGGAGCTATTTCAAGGACATGATCAGCAGGTGGCACTATTTCTCTGCTCAGATTCCATTAAAACCAATGCAGAAAGCGAGAGCTCAACCTGGGTGTAGTCTGAAGTTTAGGTGCCATTATCTTCTCATTTGATGTAGTGGCTAAAGGAAACATATCAAAGGAGAAGGTAGCTTAACTAGCCAGTAGCTAAGTTGTTTTTATTGTATTGTATTGTAAAAAGTGCTCAATATGCTTAAAGCAACAGGCCTAAGCTCGTCCTCATTTGCCTCCACTAGTTTACTTCGGCTCTTGACTGTGATGGATCCCTCCCATTCCTCTGAGTGCTCACACAGGTAAAGCTTCATGCAGGTGTAAGGAGGCGCGGATAGTTCAGGTGAAGACGTTTGACGGTTGGTTTTTAACCCCAACCTCAGTTTTTTCTCCAGATTTCTCAGCCTTGTTGGCATGCCGGGAGCGCTTCCCCCTCTTCTTGCTCTTCCCCCCCTTGGATCCTGAAGAAGAGGCAGCATCTGCTCCACCTGTGGCTACACCATCACCACCATCACCACCACCACCACCAGCTCCGTCTTCTGTAATAATATCGCCTTCACTTTCCCTCCTCTCAGCCGTGTTGTACACACGGCGCACCACCTTTCTGATCACCTGTAGGGCAGAAGCATGTCATGGGGAGGGAAGCAGGAGAGCATTATGTGAGCAGGCATAATGAAAAGGAGGGACAGGAGGAGAGGTGTGTGTGTGTGTGTGTGTGTGTGTGTGTGTGTGTGTGTGTGTGTGTGTGTGTGTGTGTGTGTGTGTGTGTGTGTGTGTGTGTGTGTGTGTGTGTGAGAGAGAGCTGTCGGGTCAAGAGGTGATGGAGGGGGATGAGGATGGTTACTTTTCTGGTGACCAGATTCCCGTCTTCATCTGTGAACTGCTCCTCCGTCACAGAATCCCCAGGAATGTTTCTGGCTTCCTCTCCCTGGGATGAATGGTTAAAGGATGAGTGAAAGGTGGATGGAAGGGTGGCGTACAGGTCGGGAAAAGTTACGAGAGGTAATCTTGTTGATAGTTATTCATCTGGTTATTTAGAATAAAGAGAACATACGTCTGCCTGCCACAGACGATGGTTTTCAAAGTGCAGTTTCCTTTTTAATAAACTCTCAGATAGATAAAAACATATGCTATAAATAAAATCTTTGACCATGCTAATCTGTGATGCAGCACTTATAACAGAAAAACATGACTTGTTACAATACTTTAAAGGTGTTTAAATTCAATAAAAAGTTGATTTGGAACCCAAGGGATGCAGGTGCATGATACAGGATCAACATGTTAGCAAGGCTCTGAAAACAAGCTTCAAAATGCACACCGGCAATTTAAATGAAGGTTCAATCTAGTTATGGATAACTGTAACTGTTAATCATGACACATCTCAGAGACCAACAGCGGAGTGGAGAACAAGTGAAAAAACCTCCTGCCATGATGATGAGTTCTTCCTTCAAACTCATGTCATGCACAATAAAGGAAAGCCATGAATCACAGAGACAGATTGCCTGAGCAGCTAACTTTAGTCAATCGACAACAAAATGAATTGGTTTAAGTTATTATTTAGGAAGTTCTCAATTTCAAGCCTCTTTAGTGTCAGTACATACTGGTTTTATTCATCTTATAAACTGTATATCTTTGGGTTTTTTAAGTTTTGTCAACAAACAAGCCATCAAGATCACTTCCTGACCTTTTATACACCAATCGATCGTTCCATGAATCTAGAAAATATTCATCAAATCAACTTTGAATGAAAATAATTGTTAGTTTTGTACAATAAATGTAAGCATTAAGTTGATACTGTTATTGCTCTTGAATCAAGAGTGGGCAAACATCTGAGAGCTCTTGCTCCAGGGGCACACGGGCGTTGCGACCATCAAAGTTGGGTTTTTACATACTTTAAGAGATTTTCTGCTCCTGTGGAAATCCAGCCTCATTATACGCACACATAGTATAACACTCTCTTGATTTGAGCCAAACGCACAGCACAACCAGGAAGAAACACCAAACAGCTGGTGGATCGCACCAACAAGCAGTGAGTAGCACTTCATGCTAAAGCAAGGCTAAACAACCACATACACTAACCCCCCCACATACACACTGTCCTATGCACATTTGCATATGTTGTTGCATATGAATGTTTCCATCCAAAATAAAGCAAATCAATTGGATCTATCATCCATAATTGTCATGTTAATATTAAGTGTTGGTGCAGATCCAGATAATAAGTTGAAGATGGTAATTCTCCTGTCGGGTGTCATAAAACCATTTCCTGAAGACTCCAAACAACATGATGTAATTGGAATCACGGTGAACTTGATGGAAATGTGGCATTTATTCAGGCATTAGTTTGACTTTTTGGTGTATTTTATCTTAATTCAATGCATTTCAAAGAAATCCAAGCATAAACTAATTCTGTGTGATATTTAAACTTCTTGAATTTGAACTCTCCAAAAAACTGTTGGATGGAAACACTCTGTATGTTACACTCTCTGCCACACAAATACAACACCAAGTAAAAAACTAAATCTACTTTCACTCTGTAAAACACACAAAGGCTGAGCACACACCAGCACAGCTTCTAAATTTTTCTTCTGTTTCTGCAACTGGCGCCTCTACACACACTTGTTTCGGAAAGCTTTAAGCATGTTCACTCTGCCTGGAGCCGCCACACAGCAGGCCTTACACACCTTGAGTATGACCCGTCTGCGGAACACCCTGGTGGTGACAATGGTCTCCCCATCGGAGCCGGACTCATCTATAGCACTCCGCTGATGAGGGCAGTCCAGGAGCATTGTTACAAGAAGGACCAAGAGTGTGTGTGTGTGTGTGTGTGTGTGTGTGTGTGTGTGTGTGTGTGTGTGTGTGTGTGTGTGTGTGTGTGTTTTTTTTACTTTATGACTTAAAGGTAAGTTAAAGCAAACATTGGAGACATTTGTTTCCAAACAAAAACCACTACAACTAAATGTAAGGCTATGAGACTTTGAATTATAACAAAAAGCTATTTGGTCCACAATGACATGATGTTTATTCGGAATAAAACACATATAGTTCAATAATGACAAATGAGTCCGCTAACCCCTCGGTTTTAAAGAGTGACTCTCACCTGGACTTTGTGCTGGGACCTTTCTCCTCCCTCCTCCTGTCCTCCGCTTGGTCCCGCTGTGCTGCTCTCCTCCTGAGATTCCTTCCTCTTGGCTTCCTTTCCTTCCCTGACGGTGTCGATGTGACCTCCGTTCTGTCGGTTGGCCTTAGCCGGGGGCTGCTCCAAAGAATCAGCCAGACTGTCGGGGCTGTGGGGGTGACATGTGGGGAGGACATTAAATCAGATGCCACCACCAAACTACTCACAACTTGATGTTTACTAAACGTTATTATATTCCATGATACCCACACTATATCATGTCATATTTGATTAGTCTTTTTTGTGTTGGGTGGGGTTCCTTATCTGCTTCAAGGGTCTTAAGACAGAGGATGTAATATACTATATATTATATATAACATTCCATAATATGTTTCTACACTATACTACGTTATAATATGTTACTACCTTTCAGCTTATACTATATCTGATGTCAAATCATAATTAAGACATTAGCCCAATTATTTATTATATTAAGATATTATGTTTGCATTTGTATCTTTAATAAACTAGTCACCTGTGCTTGGAATTGCTGTTTCCAAATGCTCTTGAGAAAGTTATATTTTGGGTTTTTATTTTTTATTTTCATTATAATATCCTTATATTGTTGTGTTAATTTATTCTGCGGTATATCGGCCACGACACTCTTGAAGTATTTCTTTTTCCAGTCCAGTGACACATTTTAAGGTTAGACAAAAATACGTTACGTTAAATGTTTAAACTAAATAAAACCAGATCCTACCTGCCCTCCTCGGTGCCGGGGCTGAGGCCGGGAGCTGCTAACTCTGCGGTTGCGCCGGACGTCTCATTTCTCCAGCCTGGAACTGAACACAGGTCTTTTTCTGCTTGGTGCAATTGATCGAGAATAGCATTCATCCTCTCCTCTGTCATCTCCTCGTCCTCCAAGCCTCCCTCCAGCTTTATATCGTTCAGCAGACTCTGCAGCCTCGCCGGGGTCATCTCCTCCTCCTCTTCCTCTTCTTCTTCATGCCTTCCATTCCCTTGAGGTGTTTCTGAGGCGGCATCCTCTCCCTGACGCTCCAACACACCTTGTTCCTCTGCCTTCAGTTCTTCCTTTAAGGCCTCAGCGTACCCCTGTGGGCCCTTTCCTGATTGCTCTACTGCCCTTCTGTCATTATCTGGCCTGTCATAATAAACCAGCCCTGTCTTTTCTTCCTTAGAAATCTCTACTTCTCCACTGGTCAACGCTGTATCTTCTGCCCCAACGATGGGGGGCTGAGCGGCACTGGAGGTGGGGCCTGGGGCGACTGTGGGGGGGTCACTGCTGGAAGTACTGGTGGTCTGAGTGAGAGAGAGGTCGCTAGGTCTAGTAAGCGTGATCTTGCTAGGGGAGTCTGCGCTAGCTTCGCCCTCACTAAAGAAGTCGTCTGGGCGAAGAGGGGTGAGGGGCTGGGAGTTCAGTTCTGTGGGGGTTTGCAGTTCCAGGTCTACATTGTCGTATCCTGGGTGGATGGCAGGAGTAAAGGATTAGAGGGTGAAGGGATGCAAGAGGTAGGGAAAGACAAAAACAGGGAGGAAAGGAGGGGAGGGAATGAGGGGGTAGAGCAGTGGAGGTGATGATATGAGAAACACTTGTAACATCTAAGGGTAGCATATGTTCAAAAGTCACACAGGTGTAACCCTAAGAGACTTTAAAGCTGCATTACCTTGTTTTTTTTGGCAACTTGGATCAGAAGCTATAAACAAAACATTGACCTTTTATCACCTTCTAAAGCTGGAATTGGGAACTTGCTAGCAAACAGTTATCTGTTTACACATGAAGTAGAAACAGCGTAACATTAGCCCTCATTCTGAATCGTATTTATGCTCCAACCAATAGTTGGGTATCAGCAAGTTTTTAAGGTCCTTACCCACTTGATAGCTTTTTAGCCATTGGATGCTCCACTTTGTAGACCAGTTGGCCGCTAGGTGCTAGCTGTCAGCTTTGGGCAGGTAGTTTACATTAATGCATTCACTCTTTTTTCCCCCTTCTTGTGATCTGGCCAATCCTTGAGAAAATACCACTAGGTGTTCTTTACCTGCTAGTTGCTACCTTTTCCTGACTGGTGCTAGGTTGGACGCAAACAGTGGGTTTGTTAGTGTTTTGACAATAATAGCAGCTGCCTTTTGTTGACTGTCTTTGTTTTTCGGCCTGAAGAAACTATAGTCCAACGATTTTCAAAAGACTTTAAAAAAAACTTTATGTAAAGGTGAGAGGAACAGTAGTGTAGGGGGATTATTCTCTACTGACGACCACACAGCACATATCTTGTGAACATAGTGGAGCATTAAGCAGCTAATGAGCCATATATTACCCTCAGTAGGTGGTGGAGACCAAAAACAGAGTGAATACAAGCTAACTGACCCTTAATACCAATCGAAATGAATGGGAATGTCCCCCCATATTTGATTAATATGTAATAAACAACTGTTTTGCTTTGTTAAGAACTTGTTCTGATGCCTCCTAGTGGTCACAAAAGTAGAAGAATAAATGCTGCTTTAACGTTTTTCTTCATTCAACACATGGAGACTCCTGTGTGACTTCAAACTTTGCAGAGTAGACACATGATCAGATCACAAGATGAAAACAGAGAAACCAAAGTACCAAAGACAGAATATAAAAAAAATAAGATTGAAACTTGATCTGTATCTCATTTATATATTTGAACATGAACATTCAGTCTGTTTTATGACTGTTTCACACTGTTTTGTTTTCAAACTGGAGCTTAATTCAGCCACACTTTTTGTTAAAGCACTTAACCCTAAAGAAGCCTGACTTCAGCTCATCATCTCAAACATTGTGTTAATGTTTGAGTATTAGATGAAGCTTAAAGTAGAATTCAGGTAGGTTAGTTGTGTTGTTTCAACAAAAGGCAGAGAGGAGCAAAGCAACACGCAGGCCTCTAAATGTAAACTTCAGGGACAGAGCGATCCTTCCTGAAGTAAGAAGGGATGCCAGGAGGGAGGGGAGAGGGAGGAGGGGAGGGAGGAAGCAAAGGGGGAGAAGGTGAGTGATGATTTAGGGGAGGAGAAGGGGGACAATGATGTGGGGAAGAAGGAAGGGGAGGAGAGGGTGAAGGTGAAGAAAATAGTAAGGGGGGAGAAGTGGTAGGAAGTGGAGGAGGAGTGGAGGCACATAGGAAAGATGGAAAGTAGGGAGGAGAATGAGAAGAAGGGGAAGAAGAGGGAAGAGGGGGGGACAATTTAACAGTTGGAGGAGACGGAGAAAGGGGAAGAGGTGAAGACAGACTGGGGGTTAAGGCAGGGAAGCGACAAGAAATGGACGGAGGAAGAGAGAAAAATGAGGAGCAGCTAAAAGGGCTTTCAGGGGAGGAGGGGGGAGGTTGGGGGTAAGAAGGAGCAAAGAAGTGAGGGAGAACAGGAGCGACAGGCAGGACGTAAATGGGAGGTAAACAAGAGGGAGACGGGAAGTGAAAGACAATGGAGGAAGTAGGGTCAGCAGGAGGAAGGGGGAGACAGAAAGGAGCGATATGGCTGGGATGAGAGGAAGAGAAGATGGAGGTAGAGGAGGGAGGAGGAAGAAGAGCTACAGACTGAAGGGTTTGACAACACAAGGGGAACGTGGGAGACCTTAGAAGTTTCAGAGCTATTACAAATATTCCAACCACAAGAAACAAAACAAAACAGAAAACAACCGTTAGACAAGATTTGGATGAAAAGACAAACAGCGTATAAACAGATAAATGCACAGACAGAGAAGTGAGCGATGAAGTCTTAGTGTTTGAGAAGCTGCAGAAGCAAACGCATTGCACACTACTGTCATGGGGTTGCTTATCTTTCGGTAGATAAGCAGGAATAAGCTCCTAGGTGAATAGCGATAGCATCTTCCGGAGCAGTGGAGAGAGAAATAAGGGGGGAAATATATTGTCTGGCTTTGTCTTGCATCAGGACAGGCTTTGGGATGTAGGTAACGTTTGTTGAGCTGAAGATTCATTTTCTTAGAGGAACTAAGAATAGGACAGGCCCTGGGAATGCTGAAAGGCTGGGTTGTATAGGCAGGATTTTGAAAATGTCCCCGGAGTAAACCCACACTCTCTAAAGACATATTTGGCTAGCCTTCAAACAGCTGTGTTGTCCTAATTCCATAAATAGTCCTAGCATACAGTAAGTACTATATATCATGTATTTTGTACTAACAGGAAGTTATGTATACACATTATAATATGTCACTTAATACATATCGAATTCCATTACCAATTAAACCTCACAAAAAAAACAATTAAAAACATTTAGAAAAGTGTTTTTCTAGCTGTCTCAACTAAATTAAATCAAATCTTTTTGTATGTGCTCCTATATTTCCTTTGCAAATCTTTAATCCTCTGTGCAGCACCAAGTATTTGTGCATGCTTTTGTAAGAACACTATTGTAGATTAAACACAAACTCACAGACTGATTGTTTTGAGTTTACTAATCTAGATAAATAGCCTGAATGTAATGGCAGCTCACACTACAGACTGAAAATCGACTCATACAAAAACACCAACATTCCCAGAACAGATATTAAAATGACCTTGTTCTCGCGATTTAAGTTATTTTGAAAGGGCAATATGGGCGGGGATATGATAATGCAAAAGCCTGCTTGATGTGGATGTCATCCATTCAGAAGCTACACTGGGATCCAGAAGCTGCTGAAGTTAGCATAGGTAGCCAGCGGTGGGAATTAGCCGGTTAGTGGTGTTTAGCGTTGAGGAGGGAGGTTGCTGAAGGAGTTAGTCACTCAGAAGCAGAGGAGGAGGAGAAAGGAGGAGGAGGAGCGGCGGGGAGTCTGCTGGTCTCAAAGCAGGAGAAGCTACAGAGGAGTGTAGAGGCTGGAAGGCTCCGAGGAACCCAGGAGATGAGAGGTACAGTGCAGCAAACAGCAGTAACACAGAAGCATCAATATACACTGTACACTTCGAAAAAAGGCGTTTCATTTTCAACTCATCTGTGAGCGTCACCTAGGACAGAGCGCATTCATACATCAACGTGAGCAAGTGCTCGTGCATCATGTGTTGAAAAGGCTGCACCCATTTGAAGAGTGCCAACATCATTACAGCAGGCAGCCTCACACATAGTCAAAGCCATGCATTTTGTGGGTTTTATCTGTTAAATGTTGGCTTCATTTGAAATCATCTTTGCAAAAAGATCCACTGCTTTCATAATAAAGCAAAAGTAACGCTGACCTTTGTGTTAAGATGACTTTCAGAAACACAAGTAGACAGAATGGCAATGAGACCCATTTCAGAAGTATGACTCAAAAAGTGCCCGGATAAAACTGTAGTTAAATCTACAGACTGCTGAAAAGTGTTGATCCGATTGGTTTCATTGACAAGCAAAGGAACAACCTTGGAGAAATGTGTGGTTGTTCGCTGTTGGAAAAAACGTCAAGTACATAATTGATGCAATGGTGGATGAAGTACTCAAAAATAGAATACGCTAGTCGTCATGCAGCAGGGTGGTTCCAGTCATTATCATATATTACATTATGTAGTTATTATCAGCAATGCATTACCATTTAAAGAGCACTTTACTGTTGCAGTTTGACAAACTATTTTTATGGTATATGCATTTTTTGTAGTTTAAATATTAATCTGTTAAGTAATTGGTAACTTTAGCTAACAGACAAATGTAGAGTGGTAAAAAGTAAAATATTTCCCTTTGAAATGTAGCTGAGTAAAATGATGAAGTAGCAGAAAAGGGAAATACTCAAGTAAATGGTACCTCGAAGTATACTGTAGTACTTGAGTACATTTGTTCTAAAGAAATGCAAATGTGCAAATATCTGAACAAAATATCAATGGCCGGGTTGCATTGTGGGTAATGTAAGCACCATTAATTGACTAGAAATAAGAACGCTGTGGTAAAAATACACAATATCAATCAACTATCTGTAACAAAAGGCACATCGTCATCACATTTCTGAAATGCCCCTCATTGGCTCTGTTAGATGAGCAGATACTGGTAGCTGCCACATTTAGTTTTCATTTAAGAGGATAGAGAGAAAGTTAGAAAGAGGGAAAGCCTTGCCATGCTGCTTAAAGCAAGCATGCTGTTATTAAAAATAGCTTGTAGTATTAATGTCTTGTATGTATTTTCTAATAGCATATGACAGAAATTGAAATCATGAACCAAGGCCGTCAACATTCTGACAAATGAGTTTCAACATAATTATCAACACATTCATCAGATGGGAACGAGACAGCGGTTCATTAGCTGCTTACATTTGCTTCATGATCATGCTTTTTAACCGTTTACAACATACATACTAAAAAGTCTCATGTACCTAAAATGGTACAGATTTTTAGCAATAATCACCCAAAAATCTATCACTTGCCATTAACGTTCCAATGACTGAGTGCTTAAGTTAAATGCACTGCCCAGTGTTGGAAAACTAACAAGCTGAGTGGGGTGACAAATCAATAAGGACAACTCTAATGCTATTACTACCTGATGGTCCATTTACTGATTTGCTCAATGAACCTGCTGGAGCATTAAGTATTTTCGGTTCAATTTTGATTAACTTCCATTGTTTGGTCAGGCCCGATTGGTTGTAGTATTATTTTTAAGTTGGACTATCTATCTGAGAGAGGAGGTGAAGAAGGGTGAAGGGATAGACTGAGAGATAGACTGATAGTTCAGCTAGGGTGGGCTACACTTTACCATCGGACTGATCCGGGAATACTGCGTTATCATCGGCAAAGCAGCGTGTGCCTGAAATGTTACCGTAGTCAAATATGGGCCCTTCCAGCAAAGTCACAATATCCAACCGATTGATCTTAGTCAGCACCGCAGTTAAAGCATCCGCTAGGGAGGAGAGAGACGGAAAAATAGCATTCACAGTCATGTTGTGATACTATAAAAAAGTAATATTGTCAGCTATATTGATTAATTGTTTTCATAAAGTAGCAACCAATATGTATTCTCATTTACGAGAAAAACTAGATATGACCTTGAATGGCAATAGCATTTTTCTGTGTCACACGAACAATCACTGCTTACTTGTGGCGTTTTTACCGTCCCTGTACACCCATTTCTTAAGGAGCATGAAGCTCTGTGCTGTCAGGGAGTTGGGGTTCTCCACTCTGATAAAGTTGATCTCATCCACAGAGAAATCCATCTCCCTGGCCAGCTCTGTAACAACACAAACACCAGAAATAAACATTTTTTTACGAGAAAGTCAAACCATGCAAATGCCATCATTTGTTGATCAATGGGTCGACATTACATGAACCTAATTTTCAATTCCGGCTCCTCGGATAGCCTTATTCCCGGAAATGATATCAGTTTTTCATTGACACATGCCACACCCTTTTACCAAGTTTGGCCAGTGGTTTTCAATAATTCTGCTGACTAACAAACTGACCAACCAAGCCAAGGTTATAAAAACGTCAGCACTGTCAATAAGGCACTGTGATTTAGTCACTATCTGACAGAATCACAAATCCACTTTGCAAAAGGGATTGACAGTACGAAAATGCCTCCACACATGCAGATAACTTAGAAAACAGAGAGTTATCTCATGACAAGCTGCAGACTGAAACATCACGTGTGAGGTAAACAAGTCGCTGCCAAAGGGATTTACACAGGGTTACGTGTGTAGCAATGCAGAAGGACAGAAATGATATATAGCAAGAAAATATATATGGAGAGCAAGGCTTTCTAAATTATATTTCAGATATGCAGCAATTATAATTCCCCTTCCAACTGATCTGTTTTCATGTAACAAATAAACGTGATTGCTTATGAAACATAGGGGCTGGACATATTTTTATCGGATGAAAAAATATCAATACTTGTGTATACGTAAATATATTTATATTGCCAAACACTGTGCCAAAACCTAATGAAGGCTTCTCGCACAGACAAGCATAAGGGCTATAAATATTAAACTGTGAGAACATTATGTTCAGCAGATCGTTCACTGCTGCTCTGCAACAGGAACACACATTAAATATGGATTAGGTTCCACTCACTCAGTCACTGCATCGGACAGACAGTCACACAACTATTCCCACTCATACGCAGTACAGACGACGCCCATGTACACACGACTGCTGCGCGCACACACGGTGACGCCCACTCATCCACACACATGCAGGCAGGCGTGGGGCAGTGCTGCAGTGCAGGTGGTCAAGCTGGGACTAAGCTGCAGAGGCCACACCCTATATAGCTGCTCATAAACAAAATCATCCTACTATGGCTCTTACAGATTTCAACACAAAGATACATGACATGGAAGGACATCAATTCATTGCTATAATATATTTTCCCTTGTAAAATGTGAAACGCAAAGAAAATGTATTAACTCACTTATTTGCTTGTGTGATGATGCTTAGTTTTCAAAATGCAGTCGAATTCAAACTGAGTTTCGACTATTTTTACTACTTTCATGCTCTAACGTGTTCTGACGATGATGTTTTTGACTCTAAATGCCACTGCAGTACTGCTCAGTTAAAACAGTTGTGACCTATATGTCCACCAGATGGCAACACACACTATAAAACTGTTAGTGTGAGAGCTGTGCACAGTCCAGCTCATTCATTTTTTACATACGTGGGTGTTCTTCAAAATTCACATGCTGGATATCCAAGACGGGTATCAATATCTAATCAGTGCATGTGCTGGATGAATATTTCAGTTGTTTGATGTTGTATCAATTAACTTAATACACATGGTATTCTATTCTTGCTTTAGAATAGAATAGAATTGGAGGGATGAAACCCTCTTTAATGGTCACACATGCAGAGCACACAGCACACACAGTGACATTTGTTCTCTGCTTTTAACCCATCCTAGTACCAGGAGTCTAGTACTAGGAGCAGTGGGCAGCTAGTGTACAGCGCCCGGGGAGCAATGGGAGTGGGGGGGGAAGAGGGATGTCCAGTGCCTTGCTCAAGGGCACCCTACAGCTCCCAGTCCAAGCCCCTACTGACTGAGCCACTGCCGGCCTTAGTTCTGAGGTTGTTGAACATGAGGTGTGAAGAAGTGAGATGTGTGTAGACTCACCAGTCCAGCTGAGTCCGAGGTGGTCGGCTACTATTGCCATGCGAAGGTCTGTTCTCTCACAGGGACTCTGAGGGCCTGTGCAAGGAAGCATTGAAGGGCAGGACACAACAATTAACATGTTATATGATGTCGATAATCCCCCCCAAAACTAAATGTTGTTCTCAGTATGAGACACAAAAAATGACTACTCTAAAATGGCTACATAGAGGTTCAATGATGAAAGAAAAAAGATTGGGATTGTGAACTGAAAGTTTGTCTGTTTCAAACTGAAGACATTAATGTTGTTTAATTATAAGCACTCCTAAATACCTAGTTAATGAGTTTTTGTTTTTTTATGTGATATTCATATTAAACCCTTGTGTTGTTCACTGAACAAAAATAAAGACTAGCTTTAGCTCACCGTCCCAGGTTTCACCTCTAAGAGAGAAAAACAAAGTTTTTCTGGCCAGACTCCTCAATGTTTCAATTTGGATAATGGAGGCTAGGTGAAATAAAAAGCTTTTGGACATTTTTTTGGACACAATTCATTTTCTTACTGAAAATGATATGAGAAGATCGATACCACTCACTCTAATTTCAATACAAACTGGATCCAGAAAACTGTTAGCTTAGCATGAAGACTTAAAAGTGGGGGAAACAGCTAGCTGGCATTGCCCAGTACATCTAAAGCTCATTAGTTAACACATGATATTGAATGTGTTTAATCAATACAAAAACGAAATAGTAAAAAAAGAAGCTGTGGTTTTTCATGGGGTTTGGTGTAGGATTAAGAGTATTTACCAAAAGTTTGAACTATTCCTTTACGTTTTACAATGGACACTTTATAGGGCTATTTGTTTTAATTATTTTTCTTTGAATTACTGCCTCACAAAATATTGAGTATTGTACTGTAACAGTGGAGATTATCATACCATACTAACCAGAGTAGCTTTCATACTCTGCCTAACCAGGATACATCAAACAAACTTCTTTTTGACTAGCTCTAGTAAAGAACATCACTGAGGCAATTAAGACAATAAGAGATAAGTTTAAAAGCATGAAGATCGGTGAGGCCAGAAAAGACATTTTCCCACTAAGATGTTTGACAACAAGTAGTATTAGTATGAGTAGTAAAGGTTTAAAGAGTTTTGAAACACATCACTGACAACAAACGATCTACCATCAGGCAACACCCCCTCACACTGATAAAAACAGTTCATGGCTTCAACTTGAAATCAAAAATAATCTAGCTGCACCAACTTTTTTTACCGACTGACTGCACTGTTGTGCAGCCGACAACTATTTAATTGGCAAGTTCAGCCGATGAATTGGTTTCACAGTGTTTTTAGAGAGCAAAAGTATCACAAAATGATTTCTACAAACCAGGCAAGCAGACCAAAACAAACACAAGGTCATATTTTCCCAGAAAATGTTTTTACATCTAGGGACCTAATTAATGTTGAGGGTGAATGTGAGCGGTGTGGTGTCATCATGTGGTGAGGTGCGAGGCTAACTTGATCTGTTGAGTGATATGAAAGTGAGAATGTGTGTGGCAGCCTATAGGACCCCACAGTAACAGAAAGGAGTAGAAATTACTCTTAACGTAGCCCCTCAAGTGTACTTTCTTGCAAACCAATACTGACAACTAAAACGAGTTGGCTAATTTTGGAATTGTAGTTCTTGTGCATCGAAGACTTCCCTATAGTCTGATGTAAAGCTCCCACACCATGAGGTAATAAATCCACCATCCTATTACGTATTCAGACAGCGCTTACCCTAACCGCTTTAAATCATCATCAGTCAGGGAACCAGGGACAAATATTGAGTGTTGCTGATTCTGTCATTGAATCATAGCCTTTACCTCTTTGTCTAAATCAGGCAGCACAGGACACAGATAACAAGAACGACAGGAAGAAGAAGTGACAGCTACACTTACAACGTCACATCACAGGGCACCCACAACAGCTACATGCATCTCAGAGATCAAGATAGAAGTATAACAAGTGTTTAGAAAGAGTTTACAAACTAGTCTGGTTATCTGTGACAGGAGTCGTGATTGGTTGATCAACCTGATTCCCTTCCTCCTTCTGCTCTTGCTCCTTCCCAAGTGTCCGCCTACTCTTCCTCCTGCTCCTCCTCATCCTCCTCTCACTGCTGGCCTGCTCAACCTCAGCTCTCACATCTCTAGCAGATATTGTTGATGTGGTGGTGCTGGTGGAGGTGGAGGTAGAGGTGCGTGAAGGGCGGGAACTTCTAGAAGCTCTAGATGGTTCTGACAAGGAAGTGTTCCTGGCAGTGCTGTGACTGCAGCTCTCTTCGTCCTGAGTGGGCAGTGTTGTCCCGTCTAACTTTCTTTCAGCCTCCTTGGCAATTGTTTGGTCCAAATGTTTTCCTGCCTGGCTATTAACCAACCTCGTTTTAACTTTTTTTGAGAACACTGCACTGTTTTTTCTCCTTGTCTCATTTGTGCTACCTATACCAGCGGTTTTTACTGAACTGCATCTGTGTTCAGTACTCAATCTGCCTGTACTTGGTTGTTTATTACTCCTGTCTGTTTTAGGACTTCTATTACTAACCACAGATTGAGTTTGAACCTGCTTTTTCTCCTGGGACACAGAGGAGTTTTTCATGGATTTCATTACTGGAATTCTTGATTTAGGAATTACATTCTTAAAAGGGTCTAGTCTTTCCCTGAAATTATGAATTGAATGTTTTCTTACATGATCTATTGCTAATTGTTGACTTTGACTGCATATTTTGTGGCTAGGCGCCCATAATGGTAATCTGGATTTGCATATCTTGCCTTTGACCTCTTTGGCTCCTGTGTTTGTTATTGCTATATTGGTATAATCCCTGCCCTCCCTGCTGTTTTCTAGCTGGCTGAAAGATGCTTCTATCCTGCTGACCTCCTGCAGAGTTGAGCCTGAAGCAGACAACAAGTTAAACGCAATAATGCCGCCCACCTGAATGATGTCTGAATAGACACAATGGGAGTCAGGGATGTTTCTACTGGCTTTGTTGCTCCATGTTTGGGGATTGCTAATCTGTTGTGAGGGTGCAGAAGACGAATCTGCGCTTTGGTAATAAGTGTGATTTTTCCAATCCAAATGGTTGGAAGTACCTGAAGGAATTCTTTGATTAGTATAATAATCTGTGATGCCTGATGGTCTATTATTCAAATAGTTATCTGTCACGCCTGATGTATCAAAAGTAGGATCTTCTGTATAGTTTGAGGTTACAGAATAATAACTATCTACAGTTGTCCCTGAGGTTGTGTCATTAGAGTGATCAAAGATGTTTGGTATTCTACAATTAGAACTGCTATTTGAAGCATTAGACGGTTTATCAGTTGACACCTTGAATCCTGTTCTAAAGGTGGAGAACGTTGGCTCCATATTGGAAGTTGAGTCTCTGCATGTGGTGTAACTGGCAGTCGGATTTGATATTTCTAGCTGGACAGTAGTAGTCTGAATGGATATTTGAGGGATTAGTAAAATATTTGTGGGATCCTGAATATTAAAGTCCCCATGTTGCAAGGAGGAATCAACCTCTGAATCCCTAACCCTGTACCTGCCCGCCGAGTAGTAATGCTCACCAATCTGAAAAAACTGGAGCCTCTCCTCCACCATGTCCCTCTTGCTCATATCAATCGCACCACTGCGTGTCATCTCGAACATTTTCCCTTCATGGAAGGGGAATGGGTTTGGCTCGCTCGTCGGCGTACTATCGTCTGTTGGTGTTCGGGCTGGGGTAGAGTCTGGTGTTGTAGCCTGAGACTGGTCATCCACAGCCAGTCCAAAAGGCTTAGGCTCACCATTGCTTCCCTGTGTCCCTCCCATGTCAACAACTTCTTCTTCTCCACCTTTACTTGGCCAGGGGTCAAAGTCCAGCCCCTTTGTGGCAACAGTCTTAAAAGGAGAGTTAAACTCCTCTTCTAACTTATAACTGAAGTAAGTGTCTGAAAAGCCCTCCTTATCTGACTTCTTTTGTTCCTGACCGTTCACCCCATCCTTACTAACACCATCAGGTGACCCACCATTAGGGGGGGAATCATTTTTGAATGTGTCCTTTTGACATTCCTCTGGGGTTTTCTCCTCTTCAATAACTTCCAGTTTGGTTGGAGGAAAAGAGCGGTCTGTGGACCTAAATGTGTCTGTTGCCCAGACGTCTCTCCGACTGTCTGGAAGGCCAAACAGACGTAAATCTGCCTGCTCACACAGTCCATCATCCTCATCTTGAAGTTCATATCCATCCAGGGAATCTATCTCTGTCGCATCTGTGTCATGAGAAAATTCTGCAGTTGTGGCTATAGAACAGTCTGTGATTGACTGGTCATTTCCATTTTGTTCATAGTCATATTCCTCTCCTTTGCCATTAGAGCCTTTACAACCATTGGAACCATTAGAGCCATTTGTCCCACCATTAGGTTCCTTGTTGTTTCCGTTTTTATCATTTTTTGGGGGTATTGAGGCCTTTTCTTTCTCTTTCCTCTTCTCCTCATCCTCAGCACCTTTGAAACTAAGTTTCTTACAGGGAATTGGTTGAAAGATTGACCCATCATCATCTTCCTCTTTATCATTTGATTGACTGTCATCTTCCCCTGGGGACACAGGCGAAGGAGGTTGGATACGTATTATTGGCTCTGTTAGCAAATGTTTGTCATGTTCTTCCTGTAAGTTCACCTCCATCATTTCTGTCTCAGTATCTGAAGAGGCACATGAACCCTTCCTTTCTCCGTCTGACTTTTCTGAAGAAGAGTCCAGAGGAGGAGGGGGAGGGAACTCAATATAAGCAATACCTTTGTCTTTTGAGACCTCTTGATGCTCATGCTCTGTCATTCGATCATACTTGCCATTGGCTTCCGTTTCTTGCCGGTTGGAATTATCAACTACTTCCTGCTGGTTATCATTATCTTTTGATTCTTGCTCATTAGCATTTGCAAGGTCTGCTTGGATGCTGTGATCACTAGTTTTGCTTTCTTGTAGGGCCTCTTTAAAAGAGAAAACAACTTTGCTTTGGTTATCTTCCTCTAATTCTTCAGATACCTCCATGATAGGACTGGGTTGTCCTAGCATGAATCCCATAAAGCCATCAGGGCTCTTGGTCGTGAGATCATAGCTGACTTCCTCAGAGCTGGGGGTCTCTGGTGTAAGGGGGCTTTTCCCTGAGCTATCTATGAAAGATACCTGTTCTAGTGTATCATCGTCAGGGCTTATGGGGCTGAGGGCCAAATTAGATATCTGCTTGACTGTGTAAAGAGCCCCCTTGGCTTCCCTCTCTGCCTGCCTTCCGACCTGGACACTGGCATAAACAGGTAATGTTTTGATTCCTTTAAAATTATCTTTGGTTGTTGTAGCAACGGGAGGGGTTACGACTTTCTCCAGTGTGTTTCTAGGGCTTGAAAGGTTATTCGAGTTGGAGTCTCTGGGTGCATTATCTAAAATTTCAAAAGTCCGATTTTCATCGGTTTTTATTGGGGTTGTCACAGGGCTTGTCTGTATTTTGCTTTTAGATAATGTAGGTATCTGTGAAGGTTTTGTCTGTTTCTTTGTGAGGTCATTATCCAAAGTAGAAGGCAATCTTACAGGAATTTGGGATTCTATCTTTTTCCTAAGGTTTTTATTCAGTATTTCTTCTGTGTCTTTTCTTAAAATCTCAGCTATCGCTTCTTTGGAAGCAGACTCAGTTTTTGTGACTTGTTGACACTTTGTAGCATCACCATTTTTCTCTAATAGTTTGGTATTATTATGGACAACAGCTGCCTGGACCTTTTGACTTTTATTGCTTTCTTTAATGTCCCGAGTAACAGCGGAAGATGTATCTTTACCTTGAGTAGTTGCTTTTTGACTCTCAGTTTCACAAATGTGTCTTTGCAACGGGGGCTCAGCAATATTTTTATTTGGTGACTTGTCTCTTGTTTGTTTTGGGGGTTTAGAAGTTGGCGATTTTAAAACAGCTTTACTGTCTGTGGCAGCACATGTGTCCTTCTCTATATCCATTGCTGGGGTTACTTCTTCTAAAGTTTCACATACTTTTGAAGTTGTTCCTCCAGTAAAAAATTGATAAACAGGAAGTTTGCTATCCTGTAGTTTCTTTACTGATGGTTTTGGCTGCACCGGGGGAGGGACTTTGGTTGGACTAGACTGAGTTTGTTTCTGAGCTTCAGATTCAAACTTCATCCTCACAGCACTGACTTTGGATGTTGATTTTACATTAGAGGGAGAAGAGGGTGCAGACTCACTGGTTTTTGTTTGTTGTTTAATTTTATCCTCACTGCTATGAGGGAGTCTGCTTTTCTGGGGACTGCTTGGTAAGCTAGAACTTTTATTTTCTGTTGTAGTGGTACGGTCAAACATTTTCCCAACAGAAGGCTCTTTAAGTTTGCTTTTATTGAAGCCCTCCTCTGCTTTAGGTTTCTGTAGTGTTTTCTCAGGGCTGCAAGCTGAGCTAGGCCATGACCTGGGTTCCTTTGGCTCTCGTCTAACAGGCTTTTTCTCAGGAGACTGCAATTCATCATTGAGCTTTTCTGTTTTGTCACGGAAAAACTGTGATACCTCACTAAGTTTTTCTTCAGCTTCCTTTACAGTTTGATCCACCCTATCCTCATAAAGAAGCTTATCCCTGCTCCTGTCATGTTTGTCCTCTGTAAATCGCATCCAAACAGCATGTTTGGGGCTGCCCTGCTCTGTGGAGTAATGAAGCACTGTCACCTTATCAAACTGAGATGGTTCATCCCGCTGCACAAATTGACCCGATATTGGGGACCCATCTTTTGAAGACTTAGAAGCAAACTCTCTTTTTGGGCTTCCATGTTGCTGACTCTCAGCACCACGGCTACAACTCTCCTCAGAAACTTGGTGGCGTTTTTTGTCAGTCACTATTGCTGAATCCTCTGTGTCAGAGTGAGACAGTGAGGATGTTTCAAGTTTCTCTGAGTGGAGCATTTTCTCAGCAAACCTATATGACTCGCCTCTGATTTCTGATAGTTCATCATCACAGTATTCTATGGAGTTCTGGCTCAATAGTTTTAGGGCTTTATAAGAATCATCTGCTATCAACTGGGCAGAATTTGGGCGACTGTCCTCCTCCTGTGACACTGGGGTGTTGACGCGAGATGTATCTAGAAAGGAGGGCAGGGATTCCTCAACAGTAAGCTCCTCCTCTTCCTGTTGGGCTTCATAGTCATCCGTTAGTTCCTTAATCCCATAGTCACCTTTGTAGACATAAAGCTCAGGGTGTTTCTTGGATTCCCTGATAATAACCTCAGTCGGTTCTGCTATGCTGTGGCCCTTTTCAATATGAACCTCAATTATCCTTTCGACTTTAGGTTTAGATTTAATATCTCTGTCAAGAAACCTAGGAGTCAGCTCATCACCTTTGACTGAATCCTGGCTAGCCTGGTGTTCAAAAAGGCCTGCCAGATCTTTAGATGGGTCCCTACCTGACTGGAATGCTTTCATGATATCTCTAACTGACATACCTTCTTCTATCATCTCTGCACAATCAGTCAGTTGGGGCTTATGATAGACCATTCTAGTAGTAGTAGTAATATGAGTTTCCTCTTTAAGACACACACTGGTGTTTTCTTCCGGTATTTTCATTTGGAAGGCTTTCATGGGGCTCATTGAAGCTGCATCTGGCTCTATAGAGGGGAAAGCACATGCAGCTTCCTCAATGATTATAGGCCCACAAGGATCATCAAGTTGTTCAAAGCCCCTCATATCGACCGCTTCAGTCCAGGTTTCAGTAACAGAGGGAGGAATGGGCAAATCTGTGAATAAAGGCTTTGGTCCTGTACTCTCTGCACTCTGAGGAGCAGAGGGTGTCTTTTCACTCCTTGTCTCGAACCCGCTGTCTGACAGGGGACTCTTATCCTGCTCGTGAGAGAGGTCCTCTGGGGACTCCAAGATAGTGTCACTCCCTTGATATGATGACTCAGAAAGTTTACTTAGGTCCTTCTCTGATGGAGACCTGAGCATGCCTGAGACAGGCGGAGGCATTTTGAGTTTGTGCTCTTGTATTGACATTGATGGTTTAAGAACACGTTTCTGTTTTTCTTCCCCTTCCCTTTTTGCCTCCTCCTCGTGCTTACTTTTCAACTCTGCCATTCTTGAAAGAGAGCTGGCGCCAATATCATTTGTTAAATAATCTACTACTTTACTCAACTGTAAATCTTTGCTTGAAATGGACTGCGGCTTCAGCAGGAGAGTGTTTTCCTCAAAAGGAGGGTAATTGTCTGAGAGGGCACAACTTTGCGCCTCCTCAATTTCATCTTTGGAAAATTCTTCCCATTCATCCTCAGATGCTCTGTCTTTACCTGCATTAACCCTACTCTCAGTCTTGATATCTTTCTGTAATAGCCTACAGACCTTAACTAAGTCTTCTTTAACTTTCTCCACTAGCGTAAATGGCTCCTCATCCTCTAACTTGGTTTCTTTAGGAGTGCCAGTTTGAGATGTTTGAACTGTTTTAGCTGCAGTCTGTGTGTCAATCTGTAGGATAGCCGTCATTCTGATCAGATCCTCTTTCATGTCTGCTACATCTTTTAGTATCTCCTGGTTGGAAGTTCCCGTTGGGTGGATGATGGGTGGCGTGATAAACGGAGGGGATTTAAGTTGGGACTTTATTTTTGATCCAGTAACACAGGAAGACAAAGAGGAAGAAAATGAAGATGAGGCACGGGAAGAATCAGGCAGTGCCATTTTGAGAGAACCCGGGCCTGGTTTGACAGGGGTCTCTGGAATGACTAACGAAAACACTGGGACAGTTAGTGTGTTAGAAGGAACTGCCAAACTGGAGGAGGCGGCAACAGATCTCAAAGAACCATAAGCAGAGCTTGCTGCTGCAGACCTGCGTGAGGCGGACAACGATCTAATAGTGCCATAGCCTGACACAGAACAAGAGTCTATAGCTTCATTTATGGCTGCGCTAACACCAGAGGTTGCTGCTTGGGTGGTGGCCTGTATTCTCTCCTGAAGGCTGCTACTTCTCTCCGAGAGATTGCGAGACGAAGGGGAGGATGGTGTGGAGGAAGAAGATGGATATTTAATTGGAGAGACTGATCCATTCATCGTGGACAATTCTGAGGAAGCTATGGTTGTCTGTCCAGTTGAGGAGAGTGATGAGAGGGAGGTTCTTCCTCCTCTCGATGCAAGTGTTGAATCTACAGAGGTTTTTAACGAGGACAGGCCTGACATGCTTTTAACAGAGGAATCTGTCACAATTGTGGACCCAAGGGCAGTTTTAAAAGGCAAATTAGAATTGTACAAGTTGTAGGACTTTGGCGATGCTGGAGCAGTAAGAGAAGCTGATGACCTCTCTGGTACAGAACCATTTGGTATGGAGTGAAGTGGGGAAGTCCTTGATGTGTATGCTGAAGCAAGGTTTTTGATAGATGCTGGGTCTGTGGCAAGTTTACATGGGCTTCCAGAAGACACAAAGCTGGCAGACCCCTGTACAGGGTACTGACCCAGCTGGACAACAGTTTTAATAGGTGAAGGCATAGTCCTGTAAGACCTGATGGGGGATGAGAACACATTGTCATCAACAGGTTTAACTTGAGTAGGTGGTGGTGGTGGTGGAGCTCCCAGGGTAGTTCTGATTGTTGCAGCGCATGCACGTGAAGGGGAAGAGAGGGGCCAGGAGGTTTTCAATGGAGAAGCAGCTGGTGAGCCTGCCGGGGAATCGGTACATGTGAGGGAACCCCCCACTCCGACTGGCCTTGTTTGGCCAGGGACGGTAATAGGAGCAGTCGACCATGGTGGGTAATGTCTGGTTGGAAAGACAGGTTTGTGAGGGTAACCAGCAGGCAGTGTTCTTGCTGTTGTGCTCCGCTGCTCAACGGTCGTTTCTTCAGGTGAATTTAGAAATAAAGATAAAGAAGGAATGGAAAAAAATAATAACAAAAATGTGGAGTTATAAAGGTAACATAAAATGATGTTGGGGAAGGAAAAGAAAGAAAAAATGTGTAAGAAGAAGAGATCAGAGGAGGAATATTTGGTCAGTGACGCAGTCCTGGTATCAAGGAAGGAAAAATTGCAGTTTTATGATGTGCTGATATTTGAGTATTGATTGAAGGTGGAGTTATGAAAAGAAACGGTTGTGTTTCTGTGTGAATTCAGGATTAGTACATGACTCAAACAGCGAAAACAACATAATGAATAAACGCAACAAAACATAAACAGCAGCAAAATAAAATCCCAAAGACAATGGCTTGGACTGACAATTGAGAACATAAAAATGGTAAGACAAATGCACCAGGATCAACATAAAAACAACTTCTCTCTTTGGACATCTGATGTTCTGAACATCAGCCCATGGGTTCTGGCTCTAATTTCAATCCGCTTCTTAAAGTGCCTTTTATCTGTTTGGTTCAAACGTTGAATGAAAGGTTTTAAAAGACAATTTAGACACTATGATACAACATAGCCAATGGCTCCAGAAGTTTCAATTGTTCTATAATCAAACAACAAAACATATGACAAAATGGGTTTTCCAAGACCTAGGTGTTGGCCCATTTTGTTATGCAAGATTGATAAGAACTGGTGACAAGAACAAAGTGTGAAAAACTGGAAGAGACACCCAAAAGAAAGCCAAACTCAAGACCTCCTATCATGCATGTGTATCCCACAAAAAGCTGCTACATCACCACAAAGCCAAATGAACTCAGAGGGGACAAATGAAGAATAAATACAATTTTACTTTGACTGCCTCTCAAATGCCAACGACATTGTGATGGTAAGTCAAAGAAAATGTTTGATGTTGCTGGATTGGGACTTCTAAAACTCAGCAGTGGAAGGCAACCAAACAAACCCAGAAGAAATACAACTCACAATGTGGGCAAGCACAGCACAAAACCAACTCATTGACTCATGCAAACATATGTACCATGTTGTAAACAGGCATGTGAACAGTGCATGTTATGTGGGATGAGAGATATGCATTTATAACATTAGGTAAGTCAAATCGGTCACGCATTTTACATTTGAATTAAAATTGTTAATAGACGATCTTATCCACGAAAATTGGCATAATTAAATTCATCAAAGGTGTTTGTTAGTAAATATGTCAAAACTCACTCAGTGCAGGCTCGGCCAGATAGCTGTAGCGCTTACGTAAGGCTAGGGATGCAAAGGTATGACGTCGCTCTGGCTTTTCAGTCTGCAACAATAGCAAACAACACAAACACCTATTAGTTTAGGTCACCCTACATTATACGGTGCGGCCAAATGACAAACATTTGGACCTTATCAATGTCAAATTAAAGCTAACCCATTGGTCTGCATTTTTTTGTATTAACATACAAATGTTTAGTACGCATATTCCAACTCAACAAAATGGTCACTATGCCAAGATAGCCAATTTAGCTTAAGTTAGTCATGGTAACCCTACAAACTGTAAATGATAAGTACTTAAAAGTGCAACATTATTTTGGTAACGTTACTAAAGGTTAAAAAGGACAATATAAGTAAATCTAAACTCCAAACTTACTTGTATTACATACTGTAAAGCGGAAGGAATAAGGATTGGACATAAAACAAGTCGTTTTACGATATTTCATGCAAAACCTAGCAGCTAAAGGTTGCTTGAAACAAGGAAACTTGTATTGTTCCTTGTAGAAGCGAAAAATAATAAGGCTATGATGAAGCAGGGCCGCTATAGATCTAGCGCAGAGGACAGCAAATGGTGGGGAGGGTGTGGTTTACCTCGTCCTCTGCATCTGACTCCATTTCCTGGTTCCCAAGATGCATTGCAGAAACAGGGGGAGTAACATAATGGAAAAGCAGGGGAAAAGAAACATCAGGGCGTGAAAAAGGAGTGATTGACAGAAGCTCAGAAGAGAAGCAAATTTAGCAAACTCAGCAAACCAAAACCAAAAAACACAGACTTGACAACACCAAACAAATAAAGTGCCAACACTCAGCAGCAAAAGCAGCAAATGAAGTCAAGCCACAAAAAGCCAGCCCGATAATTAAAAAAAAGCCCTTTTGCACAAAGCGCTCAGCCAAAAGCATGTCGTCCAAATCAAAAGATACGTAGGGACGACATGAAACAGCCAATGAAAATAATCCACTACATAAATAACTGATTTACATAGAGAGAAGCTTTAAACAGATAAAAGACACAGGCGGTGGTTTGGCCTTCATCTATCTGTTTAATGGGGCCAAAGTACCCTAACCACGTGTATGGTCATGGAGGTGAAAACAGAAAATGGTGAGTTCAGGTTACCTTACCTTTTTCACTGCTGGCAGTGTGATGTTCAGGTTGCAAACGGCAGTTTGTGGAAGGCCTTTTATGGTCTTACACTCTTTGAGGAACGTAAGACGACCGCAGGGTTCCTGGCTGGGGTCTCTCACCTGAGGAGAGAACATTGCTTCTTTATGTACCTTGTTCCTATTTTAAAGGTGGCACTGCGGACGTGCTTCAGTGTGTAAACCCTACACCCTAGAACATTCATTCTACCACACAAAAGTGCATACTTTATTTTTAATGTTTATTTTTTGTGTTTTTTACCAAATACTACTGCTTATTGCACTACTGACCGGATGATAAACTGCACTTCATTGTGTCAGGTGTGCAATTACAACTACGGTGAATCTATGTACAAAATCTCAATTTGATAAAGTTCCAAAATGCCACACAAAGCACATTCAATTTCTGTATTTTCTCTTGTTTTCACATTTTATCTACTGACATGTTTTGCTAAATGGACATTTGTGGAAATATGACTAAAGGAATATATTTGTAAGTAATATATACACATTGAAACCTGCTTCTGTAATTTCAATCAGTGGTGTTCTAGTTCACACACAGCAAGAATAGTTTTTACCCAAATGTTGCAAGGGGATTGATTATGGAGAACATGAGGTTAACGAGTCATTCAATGAAGTGTTTATCAGGGGCAAAGGGAACTAAGTTACTATACCCCGTGGACCTTTGTTTATTGTATTAAAAGCTAGTGTGAGAAGGAGTAATGCATCATTAGAGAATGGAGCTAAAACAATCATGGTATTTTATCACCATCAAAGTTGTTTCTGCTCCTGCTTTCTCATTTATTAAGTCTTGTTTCTTGTGACATCTTAGGTATACTTCTTAGTAACTTCCAACGTTTTTGGCATGTTGATTTATAGATGTCCCAACTCCAGCCTGAGAAGGTTGCTGGTAAAGAGTGTAAATGCAGTACCTTGACACAGAAGGGCAGACGGTTCTCCTTGAAGGCGTAAAAGTTAAGAACTAACTGCTGACCACCTTTAGTCAGAGGAGCCACGTTTCCATAGCAGTCCACATAAATGGGCCTGCCTTCCAGAACCTGAGAGAGAACATTATAGGTAAGAACGTCTTATCATGTGCAAAAGAAAAGTGGATCACTCTTTGAGAATTCATTATAAGGTTTCGAAGTAGCCCTAAGTTATAGGACTGTTCTCAGGCCACTTTGACTCTAAGCCTTACACTCCTTTCTGTTGCCTTTATAGTTATGCTAGTTATTTATAATCTTAGAAAAAACAGTTTTACATTTTGTTTTACATGTTTTAAATGGAAACATATTCACAAATGAAACTGTAGCTGTATAAATAACATGAATTTGTAGAACTAAATAATTAATTATGAAGGTATTTGGCAATTGCTTTATATCTGGTGTTTAACCTGACAGAACAAATATCCTAATTGAAGGCATTAAAATACATACAAGAAGTGATAATAACTTGTTCACACAGGGAAAATCATTTGCATACATTTGACATAAAATAATGTAGTAATCACTAAAATCATTTTATTAAAGGGTTAAAATAATTTATAATACCATCATTTTTGTATTTACCTCTATGTCCTTGCTCCTGGCCACCTCCTCAAAGTTCTCCTGCTGCTCCAGGGTCTTATCCACCTTGTCGTCTGTCATACAGAAGCACCTCAGTCTGGACTCCATTGGGTCGTTGGTCTTAGCAAACACCACAAACTTGGCCATGTAGGGCACGCAGATGAGCTCCCTGTATAGCTGCATGGCCAAGCCCACCGTCTCTGGGATCTGGTGGCAGTCAGCTAACCAGAACCTGCACAAATGGAAAATAAAATGATTTTAGACACAGATGTTAATACAACAGATGGAAAAGAGTAAAAGCGTGAGCATGTAGTCAGTGTCTCACCTTGCAGAAACATTAGTGGTGAAGGAGACGCAGTCATTGACGAAAGTGAGAGGAGTGGTGCCAGTGATGTCTTCCCACTGTGCAGGGGACGTACCACCTGGAAGATGAATAGAAAGAGTTTGATTCATTTTTCGTCATCATATATTCTTTTGACAAGCTATTTTCTAGTTAAGTTAAGATGTAACAGTTTTTATTGTATGTGCCGTTGCAGTTCAAAGTAGGAAAGACTGCAAATAAAACAACATGTAAAGAACAAAAGTAATCGATAAGTTGCAAAAAGAAATGTAGACCATGCAAGAACTATTAACAGGTTTACAGTCAGTGTAAAAAAATTAAAATAAAATAAAGGTCCCCTCCAGACATTTGTATTAAACTTATTAAGCTATGCATTATTATTGTAAATGTATGTCAAATTTAGTTTTCCTATTTAACAAATGAAATGAGTAAAGACAGGCCAAAATATCCCAAAAAAATGTAAAATCACAAATTCAATTCAAAAATCAATGGTCCTCACAAAGATAGCCGTACAAGTACTATCACACACACCTGTGATGCTGCAGAGAAGGCGGAGACATGGCGTACAGTCTCCTTTGTAGCCGTTGGTAAGCCCCTCCCCTGAAAGAGGCGGGACTGGGATTGTCATGGTGATGGGTTTGTGGAACTTCCTTCTTCTGGGCTCCACGGTAACGATGGGGCTGAAGGTTGCCCGGTTACCGAGGATTTTCTTCACAGTGTCGTCGGGTGCCGGCTGGGCCTGGGAGAGAGGGGATTAAGTAATGTGTGTTTAATGTTTGTGTTTGTTTGTTTAAAGCTTCTGAGTGAAAGACAAACTGATATAGGTATTTTTTACTTATTTAAGACTAAAATGCCCAGAATTTAAGCTAACTTAAACTATATATAAAACAAAAAACACTGATTAAAACTAACAAGGACAATTGACACTGGACTTAGAGAAAAAATGTAAACTAATCCAAAGACTGTTATTTTGTATATATTGTTGTGTTTTATCTTAATGTGTGCATATGGGTACACATATGCACACATTAACATGTGTCTGTTGATTGTATATATTGAGCAGGGGTTCCCAAAGTGTGAGGCACGCCTCCCCTGGGGGGCGTCAGAGAGCTTCAAGGGAGGCGCAGCCGCCAAAAAGAAGAAGAAGTGAAATGTAGTTAACTTCAGCTAAATGTATGCGAGCGGCAAAATATGGATAGATTTTTAGTGAAGTTACCTAAAGTGAGAGAGGAGACAGCGTCTGTCAGAAAACGGATGAAGTATGAAAATGATTATTTGAAGCTAGGATTTTCATGGACCGGTCCTGATGACACTCCACTGCTACAGTGTGTTATCTGCAACGAGGTACCTGCTAATGACAGTATGAGACCATGTAAACTCCGGCGTCATATTGAGACGAAACACCCATGTTTGGTGACCAAGCCACAGGAGTTTTTTGACCGGAAGCTCAAGGAATTGCAGTCACAGAAAAATGTCATTGACACATTTAGCACTGTGAATACAAAGGCAACCGAAGCATCATACCGAGAGGCGTTAAGGATAGCTAAGGCAGGTAAACCTCACAACATTGGTGAAACGTTACTCCTCCCTGCTGCTAAAGACATCTCCGTCGAACCTATTTCTCTCCGAGTGCAACGTATGAGGAAGCTGCCATCCTTAACCTCAACATGTATAAAACATAAAGATAAAGAGGTTTAAAAAAGCTATTGTTTAATGTTTTAAGGAGGTGACGCTCAGCCAATCAAAAAAGAGAAAGGTAGCGAAAACAGAGCATTCTATGACATTTTCTCTTACTGGACCTCTTTGAAATGCAATTGAATACCCCTGCATTATAGCAACAACAACAATAATAATAATAATAATAGCAATAATAATTGGGAGAGGGGGCACGGCTGTGATTATGTTCTCTGAGGGGAGGCTCACCTTCCCACACTTTGGGAACCCCTGATATAGAGGATATACATATTTATACATATGTATTTGTATATTTGTATTATTGTATTTTAGTATTCAAGATTGTTGGAAACGTTATTTCGATCTCTCTGTCTGTACAAACCCACAGACAAATTGACATTAAAGTTGAATTTGAACTCACCTGCAGTCCAACTTTTATCTTCTTGGTTAGCGCCCCCTCAGGGAAGGAAGCTTGAACCAATGGGACGCTGCGGCTGCACAGAGTTCCGCCCTCTGGTCCCATCTGATTGGTCTCCTGCCGGATTCGAGACACAACAGCAAAGTACTGTGGGAAGTCCTTGGTGATGATGCGGCAGATTCTCTTCCTCTCCAGCTCCTCAGGACTGTCCAGCTCTACAGGGAAGCAAAATACACAGTTTACAATATATAACATGTGAAATATAAATAATTTATTTTCCCAACCTGCAAAACAGCTCAGTTTGTAGTACTTCTAGAATCAGACATGAGTCTGAATCTTTCTAACCTCCTTAAATAAGGTTGGTCTTGTTTTACATTTGATTGTCAGTCAGCAGGATTAGAGGGAATCTACTTGTTGTCATGCATCTTGGTCTACTCTCTCCAAGTAACTTACTTTAATTACATTGTCTTGTCAATCAATCAATGTTTATTTATATAGCCCAATATCACAAATGTTACATTTGCCTCAGTGCTTGTGATTACATAACTTGCATCCTTTTAAACACAGTACATAGTAGGTAGGTACAGGGACTCTGGCTAATATCTCTACAAACAAAAACTAATGCTCTCAGAATAATTGATATCGTTCTGTGATGCCATATCTACGGTGGCCGGCAGGTGCAAACGCGGAACAACGGCCAAAAACACATACATTAGCAGGAAACAGCTGCAAATCCTGAAATGAAAAACAAACAAATCCTGAAAACAAATACAACCAAAAAACGCTGCATTTACAGAAATGATGCAAACTAAATACAACACACAAACCCCGAAAACAAACACAAAAAAAAGACGCTGCAAATACCAAAACGATATGCAAAGTCCAAAGCACGTACAAATCCCAAAACACATACATAAAAAAAACATTCCGGAAGTGCTCCAGGCCTCTAGGGGGCGCGATACGTGGAACAGATTGATGTCTGACCAGACATAGAGAGAACGAACAAGAGTGCTGCAAATTGAAGCCGGAGGAAACAAAGTTGATCGAAGTGGAAAAAGTCGATATATAAGAAGGTAAGTTTTGTTTTGATACAAAGAGCGGCATATTTACCCAGCTAGCGTTAGCTTGTTTGGTAAAATAGTTTGCAAGTCAAGAGACAGCACTGTGCACCTAAATGTAACTCTTGACATCATATAGATATATTATAGGTCAGTGATGCAAACACAGGTATGGTGAAAAAAGAGAGAACTATTCGAAGCAGAAGAAAAACAGCGTAATATACCATCTGACAAAGGCCTGTGCTATAATGCTTCAATTAACTGGCTATTCTTTATAATATACTCAGATAAATAGGAGACAGAGATGTTAAGTTATAAATCAAGGGTTTTTATTATTATTTACAGCAGGGTTGGGGAACGTCCTCCGAGGGCCGTACAAATTATTGAACTCAACCTCTGCTTAAAAAAACTAAAATCACAGCCAATTCATTTGGCCTTTCTTTCATGTTGTGCAAAGAAAAAGCAACCTCTTAATCCAGAGATCTCACCATGACTCACGTATGCATGCACGTGCACGGTTGTGGCATGACCACCAAAACAGAAAGATATGGACACAAGATGTGTGCAAATGTATTTAGAATCCATGTGAACATGATTTAAAATATTGAAGTTAAAAGCATCAATCTGGTGCACTTTGAGAGCAACATGAGGAGATCTATGGATACATCTTTCAACACCCATTGGAAACAGAAATGTAAGCAGATTTTCTTTTTGGATATTTTACAAATCGCTCCCCTTTTAAACTCTATTCTTGTTATTTTAAACAACTTTTTTGTGACCGTCATATAGTATTTTATACCTGTTTTTCATTTAGTCTCTAATGTCTCATTAATAACTATAATGATCATATCAAGGTGTGCCTTAACCTCACTGAGCTGAGGTTATTTGAGCCTCTCAGGAGAGAGCTCTCTTCCACCTGGTTGTAGAAAAGCTCTTTAAATTCGTTAGCATAGCTAGCTAACCAGATGCTAATAACAACAGATCGCCACTGTGCTTACAACTAAAGACACAGCCACGCAAACACTGCGGCATGGCTCCTTATGGGTACTGCAATATTTGAAGAGCTGGAGCGGCGTTCCGGTGCTCTCCGTCAGCACTCTAGTCTCGTCTACACTCCTTTCAGACGAGACATAACCACGTGAAGACATGGTGAAGACACGTTACGCTCGTGATGTGTTCAAGGAACCTGTCCTTGGCCAGGAAAAACAGGCACTCGCTTGTTTAATTATTTTGCGATCTAGATTTCTTCTTCTTTTTTGAAGTGAGAAGTTGTCCGTCAGTCGGACGGACTAACGGACGGCACGGACCCCCCCCCCAAAACGAAAACTCTTCGGTTCTCCACGAATAACACAAGTCACCCAAAGCAGCGTTAAAAAAGCGGGAGGCGCCGAAAAGCGACTAATTTGCATCACTGTTTTTACAGGGAGGCATGTGGTGCAGTGGGTTGTACGTTGGTGTTGTGATCAGGGTTCAGGTTCAAACCCCACTGACTGCAGTCAGTATGTCGTTGTGTCTCTGGGCAAGACACTTCACCCCAAATTGCTCCTTTGGGGTTGCACAGTATTGAGTATGTAAGTCGCTTTGGATATAAGTGTCTAACAAGTGACATGTAATGTAATACATTGCTAAATTACCAAGACTTGTTACGTTGTTTTGGTGTAAAAGAACAGAAAAATAGATGAGAAAGTTTGGAAAAAGCTTATGTGAGAATTAAAAAAAAGGGAGTCGAGGTATTGTGGCTGAAGTGAAGCTCATTCCTGGTCAGGTGCCACCATCTGGTGGCCAACAGG